AAAAGTGAAGGGAGGATGAAAGAAAGTAAAGTGCGAAAAAGGCAAAGGAGCATCGCTCACCTCAGCCCCCGTCTCCCCATCCGGGCACAGCACATAAAACTCGCCCCTCGCCACGCGCGCGAGCATGTGTCGCACCGTTTCCTGCGCCGTCCACGCGCCCGCGGGCTTCTCCGCGAGTCCGCCGCCGCCCGTCATGCCGGTGAAGGTGTAGCCGGGACTGTGGGGAGGGAGCGGGTTAGTTGGGTGTTGAGGGGATGAAGGGGGAGGAGGGAGGGGAGGAAAAGGGGGGGGGAGCACGGGTTCTGCGTCGCCGCAGAGAACGACGCCCCGACGTCAGGCGCGCCTCCCAAGGGTCCTCTGCCCCAAGCACAAACTATACAGTCGCGTCGCGACGCCTCGTCGCGCGCTCATCAGGCCCTTCTGCGCCGCTCGCTCATCGTCGCGGCCCCAAGCTTCTGCCGCCTCTCCACGGCAGAGGCCTTTCGCGCGCCAGCCGACGACCACTCCCCTCGTCCGTCCCATCTACGTCCGCACACGAGCGACCCGCCTCCCCCAGTCGCAAGCTGTCCACGCAGCGACCCGAGACGATTCGCTGGACGCCACCTTGCGCGGTATACCCGCTCCTCTCCTCTGGAGCCCCTCATTTCAGCACGCACGAACCGCCCGCCCACCTCCGCGAACGCACAACGGACCCCAGCGATCGTTCCGCCCGACTTGGACCACAGCCGCGCGTCGCAGAACGCGCGTTGTTCCCGGCCACAGGACCCTCGCGTATTCAGCGCGTCTGCCGCACTCGTCAGCCGCGTCTCCACGGCAGCCTCGACACGAAAGCGCGCGAGCCGCACGCCACGGCCCGTCCTCGCCCCGCGGGTGCGACGCACCTCCCCGGCCACAAGGAGGCGCGCACGTATCGCCACGACGCGACACGCGTCTCCTCCGCCCTGTCCCGACCACAGCCCCCCTGTCTAACGACCTCTGCCTCCGCTGCCTGAGCGTCGGCCGCCAGCAGCACAAAATGCGTGCTCGTCGACCGCCACACTTCGGCGCAAACACATCTGCGCGCGTGACCTTCCCCCCACACCCATTCTTCCCGCACCCAGAAAAACAACAGCAAAAGAAACAGAATCACGCACACAAACAAATGCGCGGTCACGTCCCCCCCGTTCTTGTTCGTGCGCAGCTCGTGCGCGAGGCCCTGTCGGCGACGTCGTTAGCGCTTGCTCTCGCTCGAGGGAAAGGGAAAGGGAGGAGGGAAGAGGGCGGGGAAGGGGAAGGGGAAGGAAGGGAGAGCGCGGGGGAGGAGGTGGGAGGGAGGGAGGGAAGAAGGAGAGACGCACCTCGGTAAGACTCTTGACCGCCGCCTTGGACGCGTTATACGCCGCGTTGCCGCTGCGGAAGAAGTGTGCGTTAGTACGCGCATATCGGATATCCGGGCGACGCGAGAAGAAAAGAAAAGGAAAAGGAAAAGGAAGGACTGGGGAGGAGGAGGAACAGGAAGGTGAAACGAGCGATGGTATGGGGAGCCGCGCGTAATGAGGGTAAGAAGGTAAGGAGAAGGCACGCAGGAGGGAGGCGCGGAGCGGGGATGGGAAACGCGGCGGGCGGACGGGATGGAGTGGCAGGAGGAGAGGACGAGGCGCGGGACGCAGACGCGGGCGGCGGGGAGAGGGCTAGGCGGCGGGGAGGAGACCAGCGCAAAATGGGGGCAGGGATGGAGCGGCGTGAGGGGAGAGGGAGTGAGCACAGGAGTGGAGGAGAAGGGGGAGGGTATGTGTGGGAGAGAGGGGCGAGTACAGGAGTGGAGGGGCAGGGAAGCGAGATGGCGGAGAGTATGCGGAATGAGGGAGGGGCGCGAAGGTGAGGGAGTATCGCCGGCGAGAAGGTAGGGGGATGGACGGGACGGGACGAGGCGGAGCCGAATAAAACGAGATGGAGTGACGGAAAGGGATAAAGAAGATGAGGGGGCGCGGGGGAGAATGGGCAGAGCGGGGATGTGGGGAGGGCGCGGAGCAAAAAATGAAAGACGAGGTGAGGGACGGAAGCGGGCGCGGGGAGGGGGAGAAGACGAGGGAGGACGAAGGAAGGAAGCGGGATGGAGAACAACACGAGCCGGGTGAGGATGAAAGGGGGAAGGCGCAAGGGAAGGGATGAGCGGTGGCGGGCGAAGGAATGTGTTACGCGGGGCACACCAGGGAGGGAGGGACGCGAGAAAGGACGGATGTGAGCTGCGCGGTGCGCGGATATGATAGGGTGACGGAGGGAGGAAGATGCGGGATGGGAAGGACGCGGGTGGGCGGGGACGGACGCGGAGGGAAGAAATAAGATGCGGCCGGAAGAGCAGAACGCGGCGAGGTGTGGGGAAGGACGAGGATGGGATGCGGGATGGGATGGGATGGGGGCGAGGGGACGACGCGATGAGTTGTGGGGACGAGGACGGGGAGGTGTGGGCAGTGGGTAGGTGCGAGAACGCGGGGAAGAACGCGGGCGGGGGAAAGGGAAGTACGTGAGGTGGGGCGTGTGGGGCGGAGGAGGAAGCGGGGCGGGTGGGACAGAACGCGGGGACGACGCGATGGGTTGGAAGGGGGAGGGAGAAGGGAGGACGCGAGAGGCGGGCGAAGGGAAGAAGGGGAGGAAGGGACGCCGCAAGTGAATGGGCGCGCCGATTTGGGGATGGGGGGAAGGAGAGCCCGCGGTACACAGGGAGAAGGAGAAGGGTAAGATGGAGGACGGCGCGCAGGAAGGCGGAAAAGAAGGAAGAAGAGGGAAAGGGAAAGGAAGGATGGAGAGGACGCGGGAAGGAAGGAAGGACGCCGCAGTAGAGATACGGATACAGCGGGATGGGATGTAGAAGAAGGCGATGCGGATGGGACGGAATGATAGGAAGGACGCGAAGAGATGAAGGAGGACGCCACGCCAGACAGCAAGGAGGGATGGGCGATGGACGCGAAGGGATACGGGTAAGAAGAGAAGGAAGGGACTAAGATGGAATGCCATCCAAATGACCGAGCTATAAGCTGGGAACGCAGGATAAACGCGATAATGGGCGGTAAAAGAGCAGGCGGGCGGCGGCATCGCGGGGATCGCGCAAGACCCGCGGACTGCAAGCGGCAGGAACGCAGGCCAAAAAGCAAGTCCACTCACGGCGGGTTAGTGATACCCTGCTTGCTGCCAGTGTTAATGACCATCGCTGGGTTCTCCTGGTGCAGCATCGCCTGTCCCCCTTTCATTAGCCCACCGCGTACAGGATAAGGGAGGGACAGCTCACCGGCACAAAGGTCTGCTGCACATTGACGACGCCAAAGACATTAACATCGAACACAGCGTGCCACGCCTCGAGGCCCTCGAGCGACGTCCCTGCCGCCCGCACCGCATCGGCATCAGCGTCAAATCAGGCCCGCGCATCGCGCACCTCGCGTCCCGCCCTCCCCCCCGCCCACCCCCGCGTTGTTCAGCAGCACCCCCACCTCGTGCCACGTCTCGTACACCCTCTCTCTCAACGCCACCACCTCGCTCACGACGCGCACGTCCGTCGGCACGACCAGCACGTTCCCCGCGCCCACCACCTTCTCGAGCTCCGCGCCGAGCGCCGTGAGCTGGGGGAGCGAGGACGGGAGGTCGGCGAGCGCGATCTTGAGGCCGAGCGCAGCGAGCTCGCGCGCGGCGGCGGCGCCGATGCCCGAGGCGGCGCCGGTGATGACGGCGACGCGGCCGGGGTGCAGCACGGGGTGGTCGGTGTCGGAGGCGTCGGAGAAGACTGTTGAAGACGGCTCGAAGGACGCGGAGCCGGAGAGGGCGGGCCGCTTGGGCGAGGGGCCGCGCGAGCGGGGTGTCGACAGCATCGAGAGTAGGTGAGTAGGGTGCTGGTGGAATGAGTTGGTGGGACTTGAGTGGGACGATGGGGATGGGATCGGTTGACGTCATTGATGCGGGGATGGCGAGCCGACACACGTTGCCCGCGACGTCGACTTGCTCGACGACCGCGACGGCGGTGAGCTCGACGCCATCGTAGTGAGCTGTCGCAAGTACACCTTAGCTGGGCTTGGCAGCTTTACATTACATACCCGCCCGATTCGCTTCCGGGTCCACCCGCGCCGCGCCGCGAAACGGGATGATTCAACCTTGATTCGACCTCGGAGCAAGTAAAGCGTATCCAGGAAGATATGAAGGAATCAGACATGGTGTAGCGGGAACACGGCCTCTTGTATTCTCAAACGTGTATTTCAGAGGCAGCCCGGGGTTACAATCACTGCCGTGGCCGATGGATTTTTGGGACCTAAAAACCACGTCCAAACATGTCTTGCTTTTCGAGTATATTTTCACTGGCCTTCGGAACACAGACACAAAAACCATGTCTTTTTGGTGCGTTTTCATCTACCAAACGTACGCTGAAAAAGCCGTCTGTTTGGCCTTCAAAAGCTTCCGCGAAAATTGAGTATCTTTGTAAAGTTTTCTATACCAGAAAAGAACTCTGTTTGGGATCCACAAAGAGAAGGAACAAAGGAGCTTCCTTTGTTCTTCCTCTGTTTCGACCTGAAAAAGGAGTCTGTTCCGCTTCGCGAAAGGGATTAAAAAATCAGCATTTTTGGATGGATGTTTCGTAGCCGAAAGTGTATCATGTTTTGCAGATATTTTGGACCAGAACATCCGCGTAAGACGCAATATTTTGGGTTTGATTTTTGCTATGGTTGGGAAAATCTTTCCAAACAGGAAGACATGTTTGGACGTTATGTTTCGGTCCGAAAAAGCCATCGGCCACGGCAGTGAATCCTTGGATGATTTTTTTTATTCTTCCATTCCCTCGAACACCCTAATAAAAGCGGTCGCATGGAGAAGAAAGCAACTCCGACACGGTGTAGCGGGAAAACAGCTTTTTGCATTGTCTCAAACATGTATTCCAGAGGCAGTCCAGGGTTCGAACTCCTATGTCTAATGGAGCTTTCTCTTCATTTGCATCCTCCTACGACATGATGATAAAGCTACTCGGGTGTGACTCAAACAATTCAGACATGGTGTAATGGGAGCACCGCCTCGCTCAATGCAGTAATCATTTGGTTATGAGGCTGTTCAGGGTTCGAATCCCTATGTCTGAATAGCTATGCCCATTTTTTTTTCGTTCTTACTTTTTATTTGCCTCACGATGAAAAGAACTCAGATATGGTGTACTGGGAACATAGCCTCTTGTTATTGTTCTTGCCTCAAGACCTTCAGGACAGTCCGGGATTCAAATCCCTGTGTCTGAATCTACATTTGCTATGTACTGTTTCTTTCTCCCCGCTTGAACGAGCTAATAAAGCCTACCATGGAAGCAGGAAAAGAACTCAGATATGGTGTAATGGGAACACAGCCCGTTAACATTCCAAAGTGGCCATCTTGTGAGGGGCAGTCCATGGTTCAAAGCCCTGTGTCTGAATCAGGTTTATCCTCAGTCTTTTTTCTTGCATCCTCCCTCGAACAAGCCGGTTAAAACTGCTGAGATGGAAGTAGCAAAGGAACTCAGATGTGGTGTAGCCTCTTCTTCTACTTGGAGCTGAATAATTAAGAGGAGGTTCAGGGTTTGAAGCCCTGTGTCTGAGTACAATCACAACAATCTATTTTTTATTCTTCTCTCTCTTGAACGAGCTAATAAAACTTACAATGGAAGTAGGAAAAGAACTCAGACATGGTGTAGTGCGAACACAGCCCTTTAATGTTGCAACCTGAGCATCTGGTGAGGGGCAGTCCAGGGTTCAAATCCCTGTGTCTGAATTGACATTGAGGAACACTTTTCTCTCTCTCTTTTATTATATTTTCTCATGGACACGCCGCGGCACAGAGTGTCAAGTTGAACTTTGCTGAAGGATGAGGTTTTAGGCTCCACTCTCCCATCCACATCACCTCGAATATCTGAAAAATAAGAACCATTACTAGGACATTCAAACACCATGGCCACCCAGCTAATACTTAAATAAGCTCATAAAACTCCCCAGATATACTGGGAAGTAACTCAGACATGGTGTACTGGGAACACTGCCTCTCTTCTTGACACTCTTGGTCTATGTGAAAGAGGCAGTCCAGGGTTCGAATCTCTGTGTCTGAATTCGCACGGGGCATTTTTTTGTCTTGTGTGATTTCATTTTCTCATCACGCTTTCCCTCGAACTCGAAGCTCCAGGCCATCCAACCTCGAGTTTAATGAGAGTAGGAACTCACTCCGAATCGAGTCAACATTCAAACACCACCAGCTAATACTCAACTATCTCATAAAATCAACCCAAGTCCTTGCAAAGGGGGTCAGATATGGTGTACTGGGAACATAGCCTTCTAATTTAGCAAGATTGGTAACAAATTGAGAGGTGGTCCAGGGTTCGAATCCCTGTGTCTGAATAGGTGGGGACAAACAATTTTTTCTTTTGTCATTTTCCATTCCTATCGAACGCGGCAGTACTACCCAACCAGGAACCACTCGGTGCAAATTCAAGCAAGATTCAATTTTTTTTTTGGAGAAAACAACCAACAGCCCTACATACTTGCATCTCGCACCCACCTCGCATCTCCCTCTGCCCCCAGCTCGCCCGCACCCTTCCCTACTTCGCACCTCCCCACAATGCCACCCAACCCAACCCAACCCAAGCCACATATCCCGGAATCACCAACGCCCGTTCCTTCGTACTCATCGCGGCAAGGCACATGGATTCGGAGTTTCAAGCACGGGGGATGTGGATTCAAGTTTGCGAGCGTGTGGACTCGGACCTGCACTTGCGAGCGAGCACAGAAGTGGATCTCTGCCCGCGGGGATAGGGGGATGTGGAATCTGGATGCACACCAATTTGAGAAGGTCACCGACACAGGTTACCCGCAACTGGCTCGACGACGACGGCAAGCTCGACGCCATCGTAGATTGGGCTCCTCGCAAAGCACACCTCACGAGCCGGGCTTGGCACTGATACCCCCCAAAAATTGCTTCCGGGTCTGGCCGCGCCGCCTATCACAAGCTCCTCTAATCAAACTTGAATCTCAGGTTAATAAAGCTGCTCAGATGGAGAGCAGTGGAACTCAGATATGGTGTAGTAGGAATACAGCCTCTATTCTTCATGATAAAAAAGTGACATGAGAGGTAGCCCAAGATTTGAATCCCTGTGTCCGAATGCACCGTTGATCCATACCTTTTTCTTTGCAGCAAAACTGCACGGATGTACCGGGAATGAATCGGAAAAGGTGTAGCTGGAATACAACTTCTTATAAAATACGGGTGCATCAGTTCAGAGGTAGTCCAGGGTTCGGCTCCCTGTGTATGATACATTTTTCTTTTACATTTGTTTCATTCTTGCATTCCTCTCTGAACAACCTAATAAAGCTGCCTGGATATACAGGAAAGGAACTCAGACATGGTGTAGCGGGAACACGGCTTCTTATTAGCCAGAGTTCTGTGATCAGAGGTAATTCAGGGTTCGAATCCCTGTGTCTGAATAACTCTGGCAGGTCCTTTTTGTTGGTGGTCTCTGGCTGACTTTTATTATGTACATCTTTGTTTCCACTCCTAAACGCAGGACTCGGTGGACCTGAAGTTGAATTTTAGTTTTGAACCGATTCCCCCGTGGGAGACTTTGAACGCGGCGAGCAGAGCTTCAGTTTTTTCTTCTACGCTCCCTGCTTGCGGCTGCCCTCACTCAGGAGTGCGGCCGTGACGCAAGCAGAGCATAACTTATATGCAACACTTGCAACCGTAGCCATGCACCAGGACTTTCCGCTGATTTTCCTTCTCCGTTCCTAACGTTCACCTGCACAAAACGACCACCTCTCAAATTTAAATCCGATCCATGGCTTTTATGACACCCCGGTCCGAGCCTCAGGCCGTCGAACGATGCGCTGGGTCAGCTGCCCAAGATACAATTAAAAGGGAACCGGATTGCGCAGTGAAGAAGAGAAACGGGGTAGATTCGGAAGAACAAACATATACATATGACATCACCACATCTGCTCCAGATACGAGTAATTTTGGACTGGGGTACTGGATCTAAGGCAACGGCTGGTCAATATTCCGTCAATATTCTGGCCAATATTCGGCCAATACTCAGCGGAAATGGCCTATATTCTCAGGAGACTGGTTGGAAATATTCCGCCAATATTTGGCCCAAACACCCTGTTTCGGCCGAAAAAGTACTTGCCATGAAAAATTCGCCCCAATCTCCAGTGAATCCGGCTTCAACTTTTCGCCGATTGCGATAAGTTCGGAAAATGAAGCAAGAATCGTTTCATCGTGAAATGATGCACTGCTGAAGCACTGAAGAATGGGGAAGGAGAAGAGACCGGTCCGAGCCGGTCCGCCATGAACATGATCACATGGGTCATGTTCGATTTTAACCTCGACCAGAACGTCCAACCAGAAGCAAGGAAGACATCTGGAATGGAGCCAATGAAGATTTAAGGGCTTCTAGGGAATCATCATGTCTTGGAAAGATGTTGACTCCCATCTCCCTCCTCGCTTTCACCCTACTGAGTGTTCATCAAGTATTGGGATGGACCACCTTTGTCGTGCCCCATAATTCGTCTGGAGGAGATGATATGTCACCTCTGACGGCGGCATTTGTGTCTTCGAATGGGACAACCCGGAATTTGGCAGTTAATTCGACGATCATTTTCAAGAAAGGCATCACCTATAACTTCTTCTCCGCCATACGACTTCCGGTCTTGCATAATGTTGAGATTAGGATCGAAGGAAATATGAGCTATTTGGAGGATATTGCGGCTTTACAAGGTGGGTTGCCCTGGTATATTTAAAAATTGGGGAGTTCTAATTGTTGTATTTATTTTGGAGAATAGCTGTCGTTGCTGCGAAGGTATGGATAAGATTTGTGATGGAGCGTCGGGACTGAGTGGGCTTTGATGCTCATAGGAATATCCTGGAGCGATGTAAGCCACCCATTTCATGACTACCATCTCGTTGATATTCTTCTAGGATGACTTTTACTGGGGGAACCAACGTCACTCTCCGAGGAACCACTGATCCCGAGTGGGGTTGGATCGATGGACATGGACAAGCGGTACGTTGATTTGCTTCATTTCTCGCTTTCTGCACCCTTCAATCATCTACTCCTCATCAAGTGGTGGGATGCAACGGAACAAACCAATCGCCCTCACGGGATATGGTTTCACAATATCAACGGAGGAATCATCCGAGATATGAAAATTTATAAGGTCTATAACCTCAGTTGAAATGGATTTCAGCCTCTATTCTGACTGCGAGCACAGCCAATTGGGTGGAACTATCAGACCACTGGATCATCTAATGTGCATGTCTTTGGAAATACAATCCTCGCGAAGTCGGATACCGATGTAGGTGGAGGACTCATTCATCAATTTGAAGATTTATCACGTCCCAGTCTTTTCCATTCAATACGCAAGTCGTCTTCCTTCTTATCCCCCTTGCCATTGCCTCGTAATTTGATGCATACCTTCACAGCGATGGTATATTTCTTTGTTCCCTTCCCAATGCAGCTCAGACCGATTCCTTCTCCAGGTTTTGGTGCTCAAGGAACAAATCAGCTCTTCGAAAATAACTATGTTGTCAACGGAGACGATTGCATTACAATCACTAATGGAGCTGTGAACATCACATTTCGGTTGGTGGTTCTCTTTCCCTGATATCTATGTGCTGCTCACCACCGGATCGACAGCGACGCTTACTGCGAAGGCTCGCATGGGCTCTCTACCACCATCGGCTCGAGTTCCAACAACTCCTTTGCAGCGGGAGAGAACTTCTTGTATGTCTCATATCACAGAACAGAACCTGCGTTGATGAACATCTGGTAGATTTGAGAATGTTCTGCTGGCTAGTTTCCCGACCTACCTACCGATGTTACATCCATTGAGCTGCATATAGAAATCAGGCCTCTACGGCGCCAGGTTCAAGAGCTGGACAGGCGGACCTGGATTAACTCGCAAGTAAGCTAAGCCTTCAACCTCTGAGGCCGAATCAGTCCTGATCGACCTGCAAGTGTGACCTACAGAAATATTCGATTTGTGGACACTGTTTTCCCCATATATGTCACTCAAAAGTACGCATATTGATTTATCTTCGATTCCGTTTGCCTACTGGAATTTCTATAGCTATTTTGACCAAGAGGTACGGCTGTGACATCGTCCTCAAGTCGTTCGGTAGATCACCCTTGTTTTAGACTTCGACTCGACCAGTCATACCCGCAAACCCCGACCCCAACAATGCTACCCACATCGAAGATTTCTCATTCGAAGACTTCTCCGGCACCATAAGAGACATTGGCCCCAAAGAAGGATCTTGCATTACTGACCCTTGCTGGTATTTCGTTGCGAATGCGACAGGAAAAGAGGTCGTCATATTGGATTTATATCCCGGTACAGGTGAGGTGTAGAACTCTCTGATTTTTGGCTGGGTTCTTACGATAGCGCGGCACAGCTACGAATGTGAGGACGAAGAATATTGTTGCTAAAACAGAGAGCGGCAGTGAGGTGGACGTGATGTGTAACGCTGTGGATGTGGGTTGTTTGCGATAAGTCTTCGCTGAACAAAGCTGAATCAGTCCAGGTCACGAATGACGTTGGGTTCATATGCCAAGATGGAGCATTTATTCGCACCGTACCTGGGATTTGACAACATACAGGGCAAATAATGTGGTGATATTATTAAAAATACATGCAACACGAATATATTGGTCGGGACTAAAGTTAAGTTCTGCCTCGTGGTGCCGCCAGTCGTATCCGTCACGCCATCGTGCAACGAACTGCTTAACGTCCGCTAGTGGCACGCCATAGTTCCATCCCGCGCCGTCAAGCTCATCGGGGAGAGTGGTAAGCTTGAGCTTCTGATGGATTTGATCGAAATTTTGAAGGGAAATTCAGCCATGGCTTATTAAGTAAGCAGGAGGTGGAGCAAGGGAGGTGCGAGTGTGCGAAAAGACGAGACTCAAATCAGGACTTCAGGAGCAAGATTGTTAAATCATGTGAACTGCCGCAAGTCGGCATTACAAATTCCCGAAAAGTATTCAACGTCTACACAAACTGAGGAAACGTTCAGTACAGGCTCAGGGCGCACAGGTGAGATGAGATACCTCTACTTATGCCCTGATATCAACACACGGTTGCGTCAAGACCTTGCGACCTACACTCAGCCATCCTTACCTGAAACTTCGGAGTTATATCGCTATCGCCTGCGTTACAACCAATATCGATGCTCGACCAACGGGCTACATTGGGAGGGGCGGGGAGCGCATTGTGTTGCTCATCCGTCCACTATCGTGACTGGATGGATCATGGCATCCGACGCATCTTCCTCAAAATCGGAGCCGGAACCCACGAAAGACAGGGTCTTAACTTTGGCAACCAAATGCACGATGTTTCCTTCAGAATACTGGAGACCCACAAGGAGGGCATATTTGAAAAAGACCGCGTCGCAGTCCATTCGCGGCTCCGTGAGAGACGGAGCGGGTCGAAGTACTGCCAAAAGATCGCTGAATCTCATGGGCGAGTTTTCAATCGACAACCGCTCGATATTAGGACTTCTACCCTGGAACTGGGTAAATTCCAGGGACGGCCAGATGAGGTCGAGATGGAGGTCTAGGCTGAGTTCTTTCAGCGCGGGGGGCGCCAGACACACAAAGAACAACATGAAATGCTCTTCAAGAAGACCTCACGATGTGGAGACAGTCAAGGTGAGGGTTTCTAACCGAGACACTGTCTCGGACAGATCTGGGAATGTGGGCCATGCACATGTATCGAACTTGGCGGAAACGATATTCGTGCACTGCAGGAGAGCGTCGACGCAGAATCGGGGAGATGAGTTGGTCGCGGAGATGTCAATGAGCGGGGACCATGGCACTGAAGGAAGAGCGGTTTGTCGATAAGTAAGGTGGCGGAGACGAGGGGCATTTAAGAAGGTTACGACCTTCGGATGGCTTTGCTTGTCTCGAGTTTCTAATATCAGGAATAGAAAGGCTCCTAAGGCATTTGGGGGAATGCGAGACAGTCCGGCCAGTGAATCGAATTCGAAGGTCGCCCGCTCCCACCGATGGGCTGCGCTGATCAGCACATCCATCAATGCCCCAGGATTAGACGTTCGCCCAGAAATGCAAAGGCGCACAGGGACTGGTAACGGTGCCAATCTTTCCAGCCAGCTCTTCGCACCGGCTATGTCACTGTCTGTCGAAGTTGTCTCCAGCTACATCGCATGATGTAACTACTAGCAAAAATTAGAGAAATCGGAGCGGGTGTTGAGCTTGGGATAGATTATATAACACCCTGCAAATATACAGGAGTTCTCTCCCATGTATTTCATTGCCAGTGGACACATAAAAGCCCTTGCAGACCGGGGAACCGAAGTTGAACACAGTCACGTGATCTATGTTCAACTTACTCAATTGCGCTCTGTGACAAAATATGGAGCGAAGAGTTCGGTGTTCCCGCTGGGCAGTTTGGCCTTTGGCCCGCTGTCATTC